TTTTTTTTTTTTTTTTTTGTTTATCGTCCTACGTGGCGATATAAAGAAAGGTGCGGTACAAAAACGGGATAATAAATATTATTTAATATATCTAATTTATTTGTAATATATACGCTTTCCACATTCCTTTAGTAGACAAGGTAATTATAGTTGAATAAAACCTTTTGAATAAGCTCTTTTTCTTCCATCCTCCTTTTTAATTTTCCCTCTTTCCTGATATAGTCCTCTCCTCTGTACCCCCCCCGTTCACGACAGAGTTTCTTCGCTGTGATTTAGCAGTAAGATTTCGCATTTTCAGGGATTTCAGATACATATTTACATCACGACACACACGCGTTACCAATTCTATCAATTTATTTAGCGCCACTGGCAGATATTGATAAGTCTTCCGCGATATTCACACGGAAAATTAATATTTCAATATTTTTACAACTTTAATTTTGAATTTCTATAATTTATTGAATTGGAAATGAAATATAAATGTGTGTTGTAGAAGCTTTTCATTGATTTTTGCAGAATTGTGTTTGCGTCCATCACATTTGAATAGAATTTACATATTAAAAATTAATTTTACCTTAGGACGATTTACTTGAATCGATATGTAGCGTAAAAGCAAATTAATATTAATCTCTTAAAGTGCAAATAGGAGCAACATTCGTAAATTATAAGTATTGTTATTCGACATAGTTTTTCAGATTGTTTTGATGCTTTACTTCGTGCATGCACATGTATTAGCATTTACACAGTGTTTCTGTATTTTTATTAATTACAATTTTGAAAAAGCGATGTGTTCTTATTATTTTAAATTGATCGCGTTTAAAAAAAAAAGAAACATTAAAAAAAAACGTTGAGAAAAAAAATTGTCGGAGCTGTTCGTAAGCAAACAAGACGTGCATTAAAAAAGATTGTAATCGCTATAAATAAAAAAAAAACGGTGCATTTATCGACACGAAAAATACATGCGCGCGTGCGCACGTATATAAGTGTGTTAATGTACTTTTGCTTATTTGTTACATTTTAGGGAGAGACACGTTTATTACTGAAGATGTCGTCCTTTCTCTCGTCTATAAACGAAAATAGAATATATTTTTATCTCCGATGTCATTATATATTTTCTATTTGATGTGTGTAGTAGTTGTTATCGCCATTAACATTTTTCTCTATCGGCAAGTTTTCATATTATTGTTGCTGCTGCTATTGTCACTCCTGCTACTACTGCCTCTACTATTACACTTTCTACTGTGACCGTTACTATTATTTTATATATATGATATATATATATATATATATTAGTTACCGTTACCATCATCGCCTCTGTTGACATCACAGATATTACTCCTTTTCCATCGAAAGTCAGTTAATATGCCGGAGGAAAGTGTGGCACGTTTACTTTTACAGCTCGGAGAAAGGTATGTGCGGATATTTCGTTGCTTGTTAAGCTCGCTTGGAATATCTTTTTCTCACATCATTTCCGTTTCACTCGGTATTTTATCATAAATGTTTATAAATTACGATAAGTACGCATTAAAGTATAATTTATCTCCTCATCAATCACGTCTGGATGTCCTCTTGATTAGTTCTAAGCGCAGTACTCGATCACAATTTATCGGATACAATAGAATGATATGGACTGTGAGCCGTTCACAATTATACCTTTATTTCATTTCGCGATGACAGGAAAATGGTTACATTAACGACCGCGTTGGGTTTCCAAATTTCGGATTTTTGTCGAATTATCACGAAGAACGATCGGAATCTTCGTAGCACTTGATATTGCTTTTCGTATAACTTAGAAAAACCACCTAACGCAGCCATAAGTAAAGAAATAGAAAACAGGCGATTGCAAAGTAACTCACGTAATAATTAAAGAACGCAACGAAGATCTTTCTTTCTCTTTCTTTCTCTCCTTCTGTCATTTTCTTTACGGTACCGAGAATCCGCGAAAAAATCGCACTGTCGTTCCTCCGGCGGTCTACGATCATCGCGCTTATTATGCATGACCAATGACAAACCAGAGCTCCGAGCCACATTTATATCTCTCTGCGATTAAGATGCAGCAGAAACGAAGTACTCGAGCGACGTACGTGGCTCGCAGGGACATTTCAACAGGCTGTCAGTAAGAGATATCGACGGATATTCAGTAGCAATTTCCTTTGATACCACTGCCAATCTGCTCTCTCTCTCGATCGATCCTCGATTTAATCCCCCTCAACCGTTTTTTTTTTTTTTTTTTCTTAAACTCATCTTAAACCTTCTTTTCCCTCAATCAACCGACTTACCTATAATTTGACTGTCAGCGAGACACCTCACGTTTGACACCCTTAACACCTTGGCATATCACCCTATCTCTAGCCCTAATCATGCAAAAATACTTAGCAGCGTATCGTAACTAATCTTGTCCAGTGATATTAATAGCAGTCGTATCTTTGTTCTTGTTTGTTCCCGGTCCCGCTCGCTCGGCTATACGTTTGGCTCTGGTTCGTCATTGTTCTGTGTGTACCTACCCGCTACCTTCACGAACACGGACTTGCGCTGGGGGTCCATCCACACACGTGGCTCTCCGTGTGCCTCCTACACCACAAATATTGGTTCGTAATGGAAATATTTCTTTTTAATTGGGTGTCGATGCATATGTAACGGACTATGGTACTTGATTTCATTTTCTCTCTCTTTCTTTTTCTTTCTCATTTTATTTTTCTTTTTAAACTCTTTTTGCATACTTCACTTTCTTTCTCTCTCTCTCTCATGCTCGTTTTCATATCTGCATTTATATGTCACTATCTCTATTTTATATCTATGTTACTACATCTATACTTGTATGCATCTATCTTTATTTTATCGTTTCTTCACGCACATTTTATATATCTATTGTTTATCATATAATTTATCGACTTGTGTGTATCGCCTACACTTTTTTTCTATCTGCTATATTTATCAACTCACACATGTAACTCTTTTCCTTGTCTCGCTTTGCTTGCTTATTTCTTTATAAAAACGCTCAACCGTATCGCCGCGCGCTCTCTCTCTCTCTCTCTCTCTTCCTTTCTGTCTCTTTCATGTTTGCATTCTTGTGTCTTCGACGGCATTTTCATCCAAACGGAAAAAATATCTCTTACGATCTAAATCTTAAAAAAAAAAAAAAAATCGATATGTGTCTATCTATGTACGATCGCACGGATCTCAGGTCCGCCCTCGGCGATTCTCGCGATGCGACTGTCGCATCCGTTACACGGTAGCCTGCTACCACCAGGAATTTGCTACACGTGCGACGTATGCGGCAAGACTCTTTCCACGAAGCTCACTCTAAAGCGGCATAAAGAGCAGCAGCACTTTCAACCCCTGAACAGCGCGGTCTGCGCATTGTGCCACAAGGTGTTCAGGACGCTCAACAGCCTGAACAACCACAAGAGCATCTACCATCGTAGGCAGAAATAGAAGTGATTGTGCACGCGCGTATCTTACGTGCCAAGAGACATCACGAAACGAGCTTAATAGACGCTAAAATAAAAATAGTTCCACGTCGTTCATGCGACGGTCGTGTGAACGACCAGGTTGTTGACAGCGTGGCTATCCTGAGAGAATCGCGTCGTTCAATTCTTGCTATTTTAGCAAAAAGAAAGGAAACGAAAAGAACGACGTCGAATGTTGAGGACTAGTGATTTTAGCCTGTTGCTCGATTCATCGATCCACAATAATAGCCGCGCGTATTTAACGCTGTATACAGCCGTCTGATTTCATTTATAGTTGATCAAAATATATGTGATTTTTTTTGAGAGATTTTATGTTGTTATCGCCCATGGTTTCAAATTTCGCTATATTTTTTCTGCTTACAATTATTAGAATGTTGGAACCAGAGGAAAGTTGCGGTACACAATCATCAAAAATAATTCATATAGGAATTTGCCAATCCAGGTTCTAAGGCCACGCGAGAATAAAGTCGATGCGAGATGAAAATCAGACGGACACTTTCAGCGATAAATACACGGTGAAAATTGATACGGACCTTTGACCGGTAACGGATTGCCGACGTTTTTTTTTTTTTTTATGAGATTTGAAACGCAATTGTTACGTTATTATCACCTGTCGATTGTACATCGGTCATAATGGGTTTGACATTTGGGACCATGGTGTGGGATCTATGAATTCTTTTAGCCACTCGATCATTCGAGGAAGATGCGATTATCGGAAACAACTCGGTCATTCTTCGAGAGACAATAGAAATTGCGTCGAATGTCGCCATTGTGTTCACGATGTTTGTGCGTGTGTCCTTAAAAATCTTCCACGTGTGTCTCAGCCGCTCGGCGACAATTTTTGTAAAAAGTAGGGAACATCGGTTCGCGCGCGCGAGAAATCAGTGCTTCCAGATGCGAATGCCGTGGTAAAAATATCGTTATCATGCGCGATCTTGGAATCGACAGAGTACTCTGATCGCGCCATTATTTTATATATATACATGTATATATTCCCATTTTATTTCGTAATTGGATATTATGACGAGGAGACGGTGATATTATGACGTTGATGTCGCGCTCCCGAACTTTCAAGGAAGTTTTTAGGATCTAATTAGTTGACAAAGTTGTGATGAAAAAGAATGAGACTGAACGGGAGTGCAATCGAGATAATTGAAATTAGGGTTGATTTCCCGAGTTGATTCTAATCGATGCGTTTATCCTCGAGACGTGTGTTGTTAGCAAATCATTTATTCGCACCTATCGCACGTAATTCACGGAAGCGATTACTTAGATTTTGCACGTAAGATTCGCACACATGCATACACGTAGCTGCACACGCACACACACACACACACGCACACACACACACGCACACACTGGCGTTATGGTTTACGGGACCCAGTGCCAATGGATTAAAGTAGAGAAAAGTAATCTTAATTTTATATAATTACTTGTACTTATTTTTCTAGTGTACGCGCTTTTCGTAAGTTTTTCCTTTTGTTTCTTTCGTTAAATTTTTCTGTTAATATTAATACTGTAAGAATATAAATGATCACACGACAGAGATCGAATACATGCGAATGTCGATTTTATTATTGTTCAGGAGATTGACATTGGTGTATATAATCTCGTTGAGGGTATAATTTCCGACGCTACACAGATACAGCGTGATCACCATGATTTCTTTCGCGAATAAAATACGAAACTCGTTCTGTGACACAGAGATTTGAACTTACCGTGATTATATATAGCTACTTCAGTCTCGGAATCGTTAGTGTGGAATTTAATTGTAAACGCACTTTGGCTAAAGCTTCGACATTGTTTCGCGATACTACGGGAACGAGGTGAACCGTTGTTCGAAACCGTGTCAAGAGCGCTTATTGGCTATGAAACACGAATTAATTTAAGCTTTATTAGTTAGATCGATATATAAAACGCGAGAATGGGATATATATTATTCGAGAAAGGCTTTTTGTGTCCAAGACACGATCGTCCAATTAAGTATAGGTAGAAGCGTCCAAAAATAAATTTCAATAAGACTGGAAGCGAGCCCCAGGATAGGCACAGCATATTCGAGAGTTTAATCGTTTCGATATTAAATATTGCCCGATTTACATGGTTCCGATGCTTTGAAGAGAAATGATTTTCGAAAACGTGAAGAGGGTACTCGAGTTAGCCTAGGTCTGCGAGAAATATTCTTATATTGTCATTTTTCGTCGTCGCTTGAATCGGGAAAAGTGAGATGCAATGGTTAATATATATATTATATATACATACACACACATATATACACATATATTTTATCCTAATATATTCATTCCATATTAAATGCTTTAGCGGGCTATTCTATATAGACTTACATTCGTTTTTACGATACCTAACGAATTTTACATAAAGTACCTTACTTTGTTATTTCTATTAATTATTATTATTATTATTATTATTATTACTCATATCGTATACCGCAATTATTATTATTACTTTATCGGTTATTAGTATTGCTGTTAACATTGTTATTTATATTATTATTGGTATTATTACTATTATTTTTGCTCTTATTGTACCGTTGTGTTACAGCTGTTTCCGTTTCACGGCATACTCGGTGGAAGCTTCGCTTTATAATATATTCCATGGACACAGATTACTCCATTTTTGTGTATTCCGGCGTATCAGAATATCTCATTTTACACGTCCCTTCTCGTCTATTTCGCGTTTTACGGCGCTTCGGAGTGTCCTTCATTGACCAAGTCTCTCGAACAGTCTCTCTCGATTAAGTAGTGTTTTTCTTTCGCGGCTTTTTAATGGTAATGTAACTCCGTCAGTTCGAGAGTAAATGGACGAGAAGAATGGACGCGTGCTAAAATAATACAAAGGTCCCAAAAGATATCGCGGAGATTTGCGAAATTCGGACGTCTTTTGGACGTTTGTGTGTGTCATGTCCGGACCCGATAGATCCATCACTCGCATTCTAAGTGACTCACAAATAGGCAGCCGTATACATTACTCGTCACCACATAAAACCGTGAACGCTATATTTTAGTAGAACCTCAACGATTCACGCTTGATGAAAGAAAAAGCCCGTACGATGACTGGGACATGACCGTTTTCACGCGAACGTCTATCGCGGTAGACATCGCTAAGTAGGCCAGAGCTGACGAATGCACGGCCTATATAAAGCACGATGCTGTCGTGTGTGTGGCTCGGTTAGATAACGAGAGATAATTTTCTATTTTTCTTGAGGACGGAGTCGCGCTGTGGAGTGCGAACGCAAGTTGAGACACGATGAGAGATGTCGAGAGCACAATTGCGAGCGAATGTGAGTCCACCATATAATGCCTGCGTACGAGACTAGGATGATACGATCACGCGATTATACATCGATTACGTTGAGAGTCACTTTGGCGAAATTGTGTGCGACAAGGTCCTCTACTGCATTGGAATACGGAGTGTTTCGCGACGGTCGTTGAAATGGGTCGAGTTGCATTTAAGGCAAGACTTACTTGAACCGGTGTAAAACGAACTTACAACAGCCAGGCGTGTTAATCACACGCCAGTGTTATATTTCCGTTAATGAAATAGTTTACCTGATATATACATTCGGAGTACAAGTCGAGATAGGGCTGAAAATCGATAAGGTACGTCGAATCGCAGTTTGGCGGCAGTGTAACTGCGAAGTGTATCGGACGCATGAGACCCGCGCGGGAGATATCAGCGAAGCTGTAATAAATTCAGATCGCGACTGGAGCGAGACTGCATTAAGGTTGAATCATCGCGATCACGATAGGATCGAAGGGTCTGTGTGACAGCGCGAATCGAGATGCGACTCGTAAGCGACAACCTCGAGCGGCAAAGTTCAATTCGCGTGATCAAGTCGAAGGTAGGCCTTCATAACACCAGTAATTTGGTCGCGAGAGTTGCGTTCAGCAAGGAAGAAAGCAGTTTTGCAGCTATTGTAAAATTCTTTAATACGATTGGAGTCTTGTCCTTCTAGTTCCTCACTAGATCTAAATGTATAAACCAATCGAAGAACGTATACAGCAATTGTGTAAAACTGTTTTCTCTCTCTCTTTATTATAAATGCAGTCACAGTTTTCTCTATCGCCACGCGATTTGCGTTACCCGCAGACCTTTCGATTTCTCTGGCTGATCGTATAACGAATTGTAACTCGACAATGGATCGACCGGAAAGCAATGCGCGGCGCGTGAAAACGGATATACGCGTCCGTATACATATATATATATTTTTTTTTCTGGAAGTACACAAATTTCAATATACGCGTGAATTCGACTCGGGTGACGAACTGATGTTCGCGCGTGCATGAACTCGCATATCGGTGTGTTCACACTTCGGCTCGTGTATAGGCAATCTCTGACGCAGGTGTACATGCACGTTGAATGCATTTATATACATAGATAGGCTATGATAATTTATGTTAAACTATGTTTTATGGAATACATCTCGTTGCGTCGCACGTATTTTCCGCCTCTCGCATTATAATCCGGATTAATAAATATGTATCTTTCAAAACGCATTCAGAGCGAACGTATTTTGGAATCGATTAGTCAATTGTTACATAGTAAATATGTATAATGTATATGCACACAGGTGGTATTGACTTGTCGATTAAACTTTTCCGCGAGTCGGATAAAAAAGGGGGAGGAAACGAAAATGATCAATTATACGTTTCTTGGATTAATTGTATGTTGATCGTTCGTATTAACGGCGGATGGATCGCGCGCGGTTCGAAAGAAGATTAGATTTTTTTATACTGGGGGGGGGGGGGGGGGGGACGTGTACATATATCGCGCGAACTTTTAAAGGCGTCTATGTCTTACAGCCGGTACATTTCGACGGGCATGTGCGAAATTACGTGCGACGCGGAATGCATTAGCGCAGATAATTTAAATAAGGAGAGAGGAGATTGCGCTGAGAGGTAAGAACAGAAGCAAAAAGAATGTTAAATCGAGGGAAACGGAGAGAGTGGGATGAGGAAGAAGAACGAAGCTTTAAATTACGAGAATAACGAACACAATTTTATAGTGGTCAGGACAAGGAAGGACTGATATATTGATAATATTTAAATTAGTAGAGTTATTTGAAGAAACGAATTTGTGAGACTATACTGTA